ATTTAATAAAACATTTCAGGATGCACTCGTCTGTAATAGAAGCTGAATTTTTAATATCCTTGGTGTGTCAGTAGAATCAGATAGTAACAACAGAGGTACATTGATGATGCCTCCATTAGCTTCCACTACCAGCTGTTATGCGCTTCTGCTTCTGTCCCCACTCCCACTAGCACAAGACCTACCCAAGCATGTTTCAGAGTAATAAAGTGCAGTCAGTGTAAATGCATGTCTTTATTCTCTGTAACAGAGAAAGGTTTGTTCACTGCACAGTGCACTTAGAGCTTTACCCTGCAGGAGAACCATAATAAACATTAAACCAGAGCAGGAATACATATCCTTAAAACCTCGTCTAAGAATGCTTTGTTCCAGTTCCTTATAAATGTCATATGAACAGCAGTTAGAAATGGATAGCTTTAGAACTGGCTGCTTAGGATGAACATGTGATGTGCAAAGAAAAATGTAGATAAAGGTCCCTAAAGTCAGCCTATTATTATGTGTTCTGCCATGTATGCTTTTGTCTGTCATATAATTACTGTTCCACTGCTGTTTGATCATATTAATACTGGTCTAAATCATAAGGCTTCAGATTGCTTTAAATGCTTTGCTTCTATGTTTGAATCTTTATTCATCTGAATTCTATTCAGTTTTATTCATATAGTGTAAAATCACAACAGCAGCCGCCTCAAAGTACTTTATATTGTAAAGTAAAAACCCTATAATAATACAAAGCATATGTATCACATTTGTATGATGAATCCCTAATATGGTCATCTCAAACACATTGCTCTGGCTGAGTGAACAAAAGACCCACCCACATACTCTTTAAGCCTTTGTGAGGGGCTGCTAATTAAAAGACAGTTGGGTTAAGATATGAAATGTTAAAATGGCTTTTTTCAGACTGAGGAACTCAACCAAAACCCAAAATAAGATAAATAACAATTGCTTTGAACTGCAGATCACACAAAGCTCCTATAGAGACCACAAAAATATGGAGCTTTTAAGTCTATTTCATAGCAAAGATGTTCAGTAGAGTTGCATATTCTATTTTGGCTTGAACTGATTAATTCTTGGCTCTTTTTGATTCATCACGACACATATTATCTTAATGCTAAATACAATAAAATGTTACACAAAGGGACAATTTTACATCACTGGTAAATATACACCTGGCTGGTAGATTTTAGCTACTGGAAACCTTTGTTGGTGAAAAGTCACTTGATGCGTAATTTGTGAGAAAAGTTCTACTTTTTCTACTCAAGATCCACTTTTCTTTCCTTGAGTTGTTGGTAAAAAAAAAAAGCATTCAAGTTCTCTTTGAGTTTGCATATTTTATGTGAAACGTTTTTAGGTTCACATCAGCAATAATACTGCTGTACTAACAGAAATGTATGGGAAAATAGCTCAGTAGCCTAACACCCATGTTTGAGCATTCAGCCCTTTTATAATAGCACCAGTTTAGGCAGTCAGCTTAAACAGTAAACTGCTTTGATTCAGTTTTTATTGTAAATTGAATTTGGAGTACAGCAGCATGCCCCTTTTCACTTACATGTCCTAACAAGTCCAACAGGTAGAAAAGATTGTCAAAGATACGGAAAAATCAAATTACAAAAATCAAAGAAAACAGTGTCAAATTATATCATCACACCTTCCTGCCCCCATTTTGTCTGTTTTTTTTCCTAAATTAATGCAGACAGATACTTTCTTATAAGTCTCTGAATTCCTGATTGATTCTGCTGACCTTTGAAATGGCCAATAATGTTTATGCTACCTGCAATCAATTTTCTCTATAAAACAATGTCTTTAGATTTTTCAACTTTAAAACATATCAGAGGATTTTTGTGCTTCAAGTTCAGAGGTATATACTGATGTTTTATGAAAAAATGTGTGCGTATATTGATACGTGCTTACCTCTCTTCTATAGGTAAGGTCACAAAGTGTCGAGCCTAGGAACTGTACTTTTTATATTAATGAGTGAAATCTGTTGTTGGCCTCAAAGCCTTTCTGTGGTATCTGTTTTGTTTACTTTTTACTTCCTTATTATGCATACCTGTATCTGCAGTTAAGCTCAGAAAGCAACTTGTCTCGATGAAATTGTTGAACGTGGCTCACAGTGTGTTTGAAGATGAATATTCGTTCAGTAAGATGACAGATTCAGGACTGGAGTGATAATATCTACCTGTAGAAATGTCTGCTTTCCCTATTTCTCATTGGTACAAATACCCGTTAAATTGTTCTGCGACTTACATTGGAGACTCCTGAAGTATTCATAATGCATCATGAAAACCTGGTTAATCAGACTCTGCATGGCATAGATGTATTTTCCTTGTATTGTTTCTAGTTGCCTGCTTCCATTCCACATCACCAAAGAATTACAAATGGAGCTCGGTGCCTGTCTATTCAGAGGATTAGGGAGAAGCTTCAGGTGCTCAAGAGTGGTAAAGAACTGCTGGTAGCCAAGCCTGTCAGGTCTCACCATTGTAATTCTCTAATTGCAGAGCGCTTACGTGAGTTAGCCCTTGCTATTGTCAAATTCATGTCACAGTTGGTAGTTGCAACGGCTACCAGACATCCAAATCTTACTGTTACTGTTTTCTGCAGTGCTCCATGAAATAGCTACTTTATAGCTTTATAACTTTATACTCTAATGTGATTTTGTGTGCTGCACTCTAGCATGTTTTCTTTGATCTCTGATTAAATGATCAACTGGTCTTATGTGTGGCCTTTTTGATTTTATATTGTAGTATAATATACTTTTATATCATATGCAGCTGATATCATATATCAGCTGCATACTGTAATGTCTTTTCAAAATAGATGCATGGATAATTTACTGTTTTTTGCCTCCTTTCAGATGAGATCATGCAGCAGGACATCAGGCCCCTGCTGGCCGTAGACATCATAGAGCAGCTTCACCGCCAGTTTGCCTCGCTATCTGGTAAGTAACCTGCACTGTTCTATTTGCCCTCATTCCATACCTGAAGTTCATGTTAGGTGGAGGCATTGAAACAAAACTCTTAAAAGGAGACAAACGAGGAAAAACAGGAGACACAACAAAAGTACCAAACACAGGACAGAGTATCTGTTAGCTCATGAATACTGCTATAGTACCATGACAGAAACATTAATAATCATGCCATTATCATTACTAGCTACATTGAATCCACAGTTCCGTAAATTTAAGAGAAAAATATTGCACATATTTAGTCTTTTATGGCCAGTATGTAACACGGAGCACTAATTAAAGCCTTTTTCATTTTTTACCCCTGACATCCTGTTACAGTACCACTTCTCCCTGTGCCGTCATGCTTACTGTAACTAAAGCTTTGAACCCAAATTGATTTTAATGATTTTGATATTTTAAAAAAAAACAAACAAACATTCTCAGCAGTTTTTTAGCTGATGTTCTATTTTTGTGTTTTGTATCACAAGTTATGCAAGTGCCAGAAGAAAGGACTTCATGTGTAACTCAGCTGCTTCACTCTCTCATGACTTTTTATTCTTCACCGAGGAAATCACAAGCAAACGGATAATATGAGGAAACCACTAAAATCCCTTCAGCTGACTTGCTCACTGATTCTATTTGTTGATGTTTAAAAAAAGAGGAAATCTGCTGGAGTGATATGTAATCATGACTCATTTAATTCCACAGAACACAGCAGTTCACTGGAGGTTTATACACACACAGATCTTCCTCTCCACATGTTTTGGGTTTTTTCTTTTAATTCCCACTGGCGATTGGGGGCTTTTGAAAGTTCATTTGGCATTTTCAAGTTTGCTATGGCACTGAAACCTCATTCTCTTATTTAACAGTATTATTATATTCTGTCCTGGCATGTAGTTGCAAGTATCTGCTTTCTTGCAAACACACAAAATGGAGCTTGGTCAAAGATCGTGGATGCTATGATCTCTGGGTTTTTTATGTCGTGCTTAAGTTTGTTGGCATTTGAATTCCTTATTTAAGATGTTCTCTGTTTGTTTTTAGGCATCCTGTGCTTTAAATAGAGTTAATTTTGCCTATGTTTTGCTGTGTTTGTCCATTTCACTGTTTCGTTATTGTTGTTACTTCCTGTTTTTATTATGGTAGTTATTTGTCTCCAGCTTTACTGCCCCAATACCTGTCTCGTTGTCCTTGATTACTTTGACCTGCATCTCCTGACTCTTCTGTATCCAGTTCCCTGATTTCCCTTTTGTCCTGACTTCGCAGCACTCTTTTCTCTACCAGCTGACCTACCAGTCTCTTCCTGCCTGTTGCCTGTCTATTTTGTGGTTAAGCTTTTGATCAGCCAAACTAAAGGCTTGCCTTTTCTTATTCAGTTTATACAGAAGTCTGTATTTAGCTCCTCATCTTGCAATTTATGACATGACTGGAAATCTTTATTCCGGAGTTACCTGCTAGAATAGAATAGTCATTTTTGTCTGTTTTTTTTAGGATTCATTTTAATAAATATTAATTAATTTTATGTAAGTAAAATTGTGCTAGCAATGATACAACTGAGCTGCACATACCATGTTGTGTAATACTGATTTATTCATTCAAGATTTCATCCAACACACATCTTCCAGGGAACTGCTTCCTCCAGTTCTTTATAGGCTTCAGATAATAACATCTCAGGGAAATTGGCTGCAATAAAGATAAAGTCATAGCACAAAGAATTGTGTAAAAACACGAGCCAATAAAAAACCAAGAATGAGTAGACCACCAGACACTTTCAAATTCTAAAATGTAATATACACTTTAATGTTGTATCACCTTTTAAAATGAGATCTCCATACGTGACAGAAGAAACATAAGAAAACATAAGCATTTTGTTTGCTTTTTGATTTCTTAAAAAATTATTTGAACATTTTTTTTACAGCAACTTAAAGTTCAATTTGAAGCCTTAAAAACATTTAAGTGGTATATGTTTCTTTGTTTCTTTGTGTTATTGAAAAGCTTTTCATTTGAGGAAGTATGTATTTGAACTTTGTTGCTGAGACTATTGATGAGGAGAACATTAGTGGATGAGCAACTCTTAATATGAGTTACACTAAAAGTAATATGCCATACCTTTAAAATGTTGAATTCAATTCTTTTTTTCTTTGTTTTTTTTTTTAAGTCTAATTGGCACAAACACCTAGTCGTGCAGTCTGCCGTTACAAACTCTTATGAAAAAATAATTGACAAGAGTTGTTCTAAAGAGCTCACCAAAAGCTTTTAGAAGCTTTAGAAGAATTTAGAAATTCAGTAAATGCAAAGATTCAAACCTCCTCTGGTATTAACATCAGCACAAAAACTGCCACCAGAAGCTTCTTGGAATGGGTTTGCATGGCCAATCAGCTTCTGTAGGTGTAATGAGTGGGTTGTTCACTCCATGTGTTTGCACATCATAGCTCATAATGATAAGCAAATGCGACCAGTTATTAACTAGTATGGAGCTGGTGGAAATTCACATAATTTTAAGTTTAAATGTTAGACAGGAGCATTGCTTTTAGCATCCCAGCATTCACACTGGGTGCCCTCAGACTTTTCCAGATGTGCTGTTAGTGGTGACACAGCAGTCTGTGTGGTTCTCCAGGGATGCCTCTCATTCCTTCTCTCAGTCGTCTCACCAAACAGCCAAAATAACTGTTTCCAAAAGTTCCTCTCTCAGCATTACTTGCTTCTAGAATTACATAAGGTTAACACAAGTCTGGTTCATAGTCTTCACCACATGTGTGTGCCTACTGTGAGTGTGTGTGCTTTCTCAGTAGGATCCAGGTTTAAATGCTATGATCATTTGGTTTGCTATTTTTGTCTCTCTGTATACACATTTTATATATACATGAACTGGAACCAGTGAGGGTTTCCTTCTGCCAGAGACCAGTTAGGAAGTATACCAAACAATTTCACGTCTCTTTTCTTAGAGTTTTTATGATTTTGTTTTCCCTCATGGACAGCTGCAGGATTTGTTGCTTTCTTTTGATTCTCCTTAAAAAGTAAAGGAGAAACACATCACTGAGTGGTCAGTGTAAAACCCGTCACTTTTTCTGGGTTAGATGACCTTTGCACTACTAGCAGCAGGCAAGGAGTTGCAAGCAGGAAATTGGAAACATGCACATTTCACGTACTTTTACGGCAGTAACTTTATTAGGGATAATTAACAGAATTAACATAATTAACTTTTATGTTCTTAGAGAGGAAAATGTATATTTTTGTGGAGTGTAAAAGGTTTTCAAAATAGTCTTTCTACAAGTTTCAGAAAGTTGATATGACTATATCCAGGAGACATAAAGCATTATTTGAGTCATTTTAATTTAATTTACACTACTGGAGCTCTGTTTTGGTTGGTTCTCCTTTGTAGGAAATATGGGTTCTATAACATCTCATAACGTTTTGGGATTTGACTAATAACACTGCAGCACTTACCTGCCTTGCCTAACAGATGTTTTTTAAATGCCAGTATCACAGAAGTCAGACCATGACTCCCACTTTCTTCCCCTCCTGCAACGTGTTGAGTATAAACTTTCCATTCTCAGCAAGTTAGTCACATGTTTGTGGTTGAGAGATGCTGGTCAGACAAAATTCTAAACCAACAAAAATATCCTCAGATGTGCTGATTCAAGGTTATGCACAGCCCTTTAATGTCTGTATGAATGTCTGTAACTTTTAGCATTACAAACACTGTTAGTTTTTTTTCTCAAGTAGCATGATGTAGCAATGTTTTACTTGTAGAGCCAGCAGATTTATGGCTCATGCTCACCATCTAGTGACATTTCGAGAGATGTGCAAGTATTGAATTTTTCCAGTGACAAAGTCTGTACCTGCAACCAGAAGTGTCAAGACTACTGGTTGCACACTGGCTCCTTGTAGGGCCCTTTTATAGATGTGCAAAGGTAAAGCATACTGATGATCAAATATAGTAAGCCACAAAAGCCTGGATTAAGAGACAGAATTAACAATGAGAACACACAAGTTTGAAAATAGTATACGACTAGTATTTTTAGACTTGTGTTTTGCTTAGCATTTACATTAGCCAGTTTAAGTTTATGAAATAATCATGGTTTGAGTTCAATAATTTCTTTCAAATCTTAGAGCACAATTTTTAGAAGCCTGAAGCTTTATTTAGATTATGGTTTAATGGTGTTTATTTCAGGTACATCTGCAAAGTTTTGCAGACATTGAAAAATGACACTAGAGGGTTGTCCGCTGTAGTGAAATGTGACATGAAGGACATTAATTCATAGTTATATGGTGCTTTCTTGTCTTACTGACTACTCAAAGCACTTTTTTCACAATACAAGCCACATTCAAATCTCAAGAAGACTGAAGCACACAGCCTCTACCTACTCATCCACAGCCAACCAAAAGTGGCCCTGACCAAGGACGAGTAATTAATGAGTCAAGTATAAGACTACCCGGAGGTCTTATACTTGACTCATTGAACAGTTTGGTCTTCTTACAGTTGGCAATGAAGACAAAAAGAGTGAAAACAGTAAATCCAAATCTGTGAGAAGTGTAAATAAAATGTTATGGTTGGACATATACTAAGAACACAATGTAGTTTAACTTTAATTGAGAGCCTAAAGGAACAAACATATACTGAGGTGTTAGAGTTGGGGTGTTCCTCTGATATACCATTTTACATTTAGTAGAACCACATTCCCAAAAGTCATTGCCCATTCCCCATGTCGCTAATTTCATCTGGGTGCCTGTAATACGATTCCTACTGGGAAAACAAAACAATTTCATATATTCTGATTTAAATGGTGTCTTAACTTTCATTTCAGATATCTTAAATGAAACACAATTTCATATAGCTGTAATGGAGGTTTTACAGATGTCTGCATTTCATATTCCCTTTAAGTTATTAAATGATAAAATGTCTTGCAATACAGTTACTGCAGTTATTGATTTGGGTTTATTTTTTCTGTGCTGTAGGAGGGCGAGGGAAAGATGGTGCCCCCATCATCACTTTCCCAGAGTACTCAGGCTTTAGCGAAGTGCCAGAGGAAGATTTCCTCAATGTAGTTACTTACCTGACCAGCATCCCCAGGTATGTATACTCACACACAATTAAAACTAATAACGAGAAAGATCATAACAATAAAATTCCATTTGATTCAAAACTCTCCCCACAGGATCACATTTGATCCTGGGTGGTTAAACTTCTTCACTGCTTCATCTCAACAGTAATAGCATAAGGCTTTCTGGAAATCATGCTTAGTGGTGTACTAATTGTGTATTCCTTGAAATGTGGACAATTCTTGAGTTCTGTATTTTCCGGAGCCTGAAACCTTTGGGAATTTGATTAGCATGGCCTATAACTTTAAATTGTTTTCCTCCTCTCTCCAGCCTGGATGCTGCAAGCATTGGCTTCATTATCATCATCGACCGGCGGAAGGACAAATGGAGCTCAGTAAAGGCCTCTCTATCCAGGATCGCTGTAAGTTGTAATCACCATAGAAATATATACAAGGACCTTTTTAAAATGTTTTTTTTAAAGTCCTTATGTTTCCTACACAGGCGTAACAACCCTATGATAGCCTCATTTTCTTTTGGGCCCTTACCATCACATTGTACCAGAGCAATGGATGGATCACAAACACATTCATTGTAGAATTCCTCATTTAACAATCAATTTCAATGCAATGGCTTGTAGTACACATCTATATCACAGCAAGAATGCCTCTAGAACAGGGTAGGTAGTAATAATGTTTTAAAAGACACAAATCTCTTCACTCCTTCCTATTTTAAACACCATTTTTACTATCAGGCTCAGTGAGCTTGAACTAAAATGGGCAGATCTTTCATAACATGCTTCTGTAACAAACTAATTATGACCTGCAATAGTTTTATACCAGAAGAATATATTTTAGCTTGTTTCAAGTAACTTACAGATGACCATGAGAATGAAAAGATGCAATGTCTTATTTCAAGTTCATTTGTTATATTTTCCAGGGGGCATTCCCAGGAAATCTTCAGTTGGTGTTGGTGCTGAGGCCATCCAGGTTCTTCCAGAAGCATATAGCAGATATTGGGATCAAACTACACAAGGATGACTTCAAAATGAAGGTACCGGTAAGCATGCAGGTGTTTTATTCTGAGCCAGGGTATGGTTCTGAAACAGACACCTAAAAGAGAGACTAAAAGTATTTCCCATGATAATAGTTAGCTTTTTTGATATACTGAAAGAGAAAACATGTCATCCAAACACACAGAGATGCTATGCTTTAACACCACGAGGGATTTTTTTCCATAGAACAATTCCTTAAATTGCATAAGGTGTGATTTTTTTTTCACATAGCACAATTAAACCTAACATTTCAATAGCAAAGTATGAAAAGCATCAAGCATGCACCACCCATCCATCCATCCAACCATAACTCCATCCATCTATCAGGCAAACTACACTTTCCTCTCCCTGGCCACTTTCTCCAGTGTTTCCTGGAGGACTCCAAGCTTGTCGAGAGATGTTATGTCTCTTTTGTAGGTGTTAAACATAACTATAGCTTTTTATCCTTTGATGGGCATGTCAGTGGTATCAAAAAGATATAAAATACTGACAAAGACAGACACAGTGGATCAGTTGTCAGAGTTGTGTAACATAACCAGGTCTTCCTCAAACCACTGTTTTAGTTAGGATAAACACTGTGTCACATTTTTGAGGGACTGAGCAACAGTGAGCAAAGAGGTTTGGTGGGAAAGAAAGAATGGCTGCCTTGACAGGAAAATCACACAACAGGAAAATTGCATTTATTTTTTGTGAGGGAAATCGTTTCATCATAGATCTTAGGTTTTAGCTAAACAAGATAAATAAATTATTCATGAATACAAATGTTGATACTTATTTTCAAGTCAACACCTACAAATGCATCTCATTTTTTAAAATTGTGTATGCAAATGTAGTAATAAAAACAATAACCCCTTACTTATATGGTGCTTTTCAAAGCAAACTTGTAAACCAAAATGTTTGATTTCCTATTTAGTAACTTCCCAGGCAACATTTCCCATCTTGCAACAACACTGACTATGAGAAGTTGTACTACCAATTTTACTTAATAATAATGGAGCATGTAAAGCAGTGCACTGTGTTTGCAGATCGTGATGCTGAACTCGCTGTCTGACCTACATGGCTATGTGGATAAAAGCCAGCTGACCCGAGAGTTAGGAGGAAACCTGGAATACAGTCACAGTCAGTGGATACACCACCGAACAGTGAGCACTGACTTACTGTAGCATTCAATACCATATATTTATAACTTGAGACTATAAAATTGTAAAAGTTTCACAGATTTGACATTATAGCAGGTGTATGGTGAGCTAGATTAGAGGACATTGCAGAGTAACATGTGAGTCTGTTTCCATAGGCCATAGAAAATTTTGCCATGACAGTGAAAACCACAGCCCAGATGTTACAGAAGTTCGGGACAGACCTAGCAGAGACAGAGCTGCCCAATGACGTCCAGTGCACCAAAGACCTCCTTACAGCACACACCGACAAACACAATAACCTCAAGGTAATGTGGTGCATTAACTATGCTAGGACACACACACACATATTAACATGAGACAAAGCAAGTATTTTTACACTAGTATATCTGGTTAGCACTGGTGCCTCACAGCAAGAAAGTCATGAGTTCAATTCCACCATCACGCCATGGTCTTTCTGTGTGGAGTTTGCATGTTCTCCCGGGTTCTCCGGCTTCCTCCCACAGTCCAAAGACATGCAGTTAGTGGGGTTAGGTTAATTGGAAACACTAAATTGCCCATAAGTGTGAATGCAGGAGTAAATGTGAGTGCAATTTGCTGTTAGCCCTGCAACAGACTGGCGACCTGTCTAGGCTGTACTCTGCCTCTCGCTCTAAGACAGCTGGGATAGGCTCCAGCCTTGGAATATTCTACGTGACTGACTTTACCTACTTCAAATATCAGTTTTAAATGCAAAAGTGTAGATGTCTTGAATCATCTACTACATGTATTTTAATCAGATTGGATATTTCTGCTGAAATAGGAACTTGCACAGATTTGCAAAAGTTTCTCTATGATATTAATGTTCTGTGATATTAATGCTTCTGTTTCTGTGAATCAGGATGAACTGAGGCTAGCTGTGAAGCAAGGCACCACCTTGTATAGTTGTATAAAGGATCAGTCAGCCAAGTCAGAGGATCATGAACTCAACCCTGATGAGATGGAAAACCAAACTACTGTGGAAAGGTAACAAACAACAAAGACTCCTTTATAGATGTTATGCACACTGTATATTGTTATGTATTTTGAGCAATTATGTAGCAATTCTCGTTACATTTGTAATCTGTGTTTTAGGCTTTTGGCCCAGCTAGATGAGACAGAAAATGCCTTTGAACAGTTCTGGAGCAAACACCATCTGAAACTGGAGCAGTGCCTACAGTTGCGTCACTTTGAACAGGACTTCAGAGAGGTAAAGTATGCCATTGCCATGCAGCCTTTGGTTTTTCATGTGAGGTACTGCAAGTAGACCAGTAGAAAGGGCAATGTTTCGCATCTTCACATATTACAATGAGTATACGTCCTCTACATTTCTAAAAATGTTTTTTTTAATATCACATTTTTATGAAACAACTTGGTCTTGGGATAATTTAATGCAGAGAGAACAGGGATGAGTGAATCTTTCATTTTTACCAATAATTTTTTGCAGAGGTGGCCCCTTGCTGTGTATCTTCCCTCCGCTCTCTCCCCACTGATGCGTACACTGTCCGGTCTCGTGGTGTTCGCTGTGTCGAATCTAGCGTAGAATATGTTTAGATCCTCACACAGAGGCCGTGGTGTGCTGATTTTTTCCTCTTTAGTCTGTGAATGTGTTTAGTCCCTGCCACATTCTCCCATGATTGTGAAATTGCTGTTCCACTTTGTCCCTGTACTCCCGTTTGGCTGCTTTAATGAGTTGGTAATTTGCGTGTTTGTACTCCGATGTGTTCGCGGAGGCAAAAGCTGTGTTCCCTGCCGCCAGTGCAGTGCAAACATCACTCTTAATCCACGGTTTTTGATTTGGGTAGACTTTTAACTGTTCTGGGTGGGGCGACATCTTCCACGCATTTTCTGATAAATCCGTAGACTGAGTTTGTGTCCTCATTGATGTCATCAGCAGCCATGCGAAACATTCCCCAGTCCGCGTTATCGAAACGCTCCCACAACATGGACTCTGATTGGTCCGACCAATGGTATAAATGCCGCCTCTGGGTACGCGGTTTCCTTACAGTGTCGGCTTGTGGGGGGGGATCTAAACAGCCCTAATAATGACTGCTGTAAATGCTCTCTGTAGCCAGAATGGCCAGCACTTAATCATTAGGTACTCCAGGTCCAGTGAGCAGAAGGAGTTAACCGGGTGCACGTTGGGACAGTCACATCGGCTGTTGTTGATCATGAAGCACACACCACCGCCTCTGCTTTTCTCAGTTTGCTCCTGTGACCAATGCACTGCACGGAACCCCGGTAGTTGTATGGCGGAGTCCAATAGCCAGGTTTCTGTGAGGAAGATCACGCAGCAGTCCCGCATCTCTCACTGGAATGAGATCCGTGTCCGAAGTTCGCACAGCTTGTTCTCCAGAAACTGCACAATAGCCAGTAATAAACTGGAGAGCATGGTCTGTTAGTGCGCCGTCTCAGTCGAACCAGAACGTCGGATCTCTGCGTCGGCGTTTGCGGCCTCCTCCACGGGGCCAGAACAAAGGCGTCTCAGGCAAGATGAATGGGGAGTTGCAAACTTGAACTCAGGTAAACGATAAGAAAATTCAGCTCTCAGGCCCCCTCCTTGATTCAGAGATGGTCTTTTCCTTTTCACGTAAATGGCCTCCTTGACTCCACGCTCAAACCAGCGTTCCTCCCTGTCCAGGATGTGTACATCCTCATCATTGAAACAGCGTCCACTGGCCTGTAGGTGTAAATAGACTGCAGAGTCCTGGCCTGATGAGGCAGCTCTTCTGTGTTGTGCTAAAGGGTACATCTTTCGCCATCTTACAATGCTGTGATTGCAGCCATTGATCAGTGGGCTTTGGACAGTGGTTGTTGATCAGTGGTCATGAGAATTTGCATAATTAAGATTAAGGAACTGACCTCCCAGCCCATTGTTCCTTCAGTGGGCTGGTTTCAGTCATTATGCAAATGTACTGTTTATAAGATCGGGGAAACCTGCAGTCAGCTGAGACTGAAGAAGTCACTTAGATGAGTGAGGAAACGTTTCTCCCACAAAACGTTATGTCCAGATGAACAGAACCAACTTTTTGGAGATTTACTTTCCTGGATGATTGAGAATGCATCAAGACATTATATCCAGTCATGCTCCTGTTCAAAGTCACTGCTGTGTCCCATTCAAGAACAAGGTATCTGTTGTCAGCGGTGCATCGGTTTACGGTAGTCATGAGGCATGTAGCGCAAACCTTAGCAGAGCACCTTTTAGTTCCTTTTATTTGGTAACTAGCCAGAAAGTAAAAAGCTAGAATGTAGTGAATGAGTGAGCGGAGATGAAAAACTATGGGGACAACAGGGCAGATACCAGTTTCTTTGCTCACAGCTTACATCACTGGCACGTCTCCAACCTCCTAATAAAATAGAACTGTTATGCTCAGCAGTCATCACAGCTTCTTCTGGTGTAAAGCCAAAGACACCTTTTGCATAATGATAAAATCCAAGTACTTTCAGAGGGCTATGCATATACATTCGTAATACAGAGACAGGCATCACTTACTGCTATCAGTCAACATGATTAAACTAAAGGCCTTCTATTTTTGTGTTTTAGATTAATTAAACACACCAAAACAGCAACAATAAAAGGCAATATTAACACCATGTGCCCCAAAACCTTAAGAGTAACCTGACAAAAATGGAATAAAATGAAATTACAGTTGCTACAGTGTTAACAATAGCAAGTACTGTTGCCACCTTCTCCAAGCAAAGCACAACTCTGATGCAGTTTCCACACTGATTAATATATAATACAGGCAGCCATGGTTTAGAGGAAAATACAGTCAGGGCAGAAAGAAAGGACCACACTGCCCCCTGCTGATGAATACTGAGATTACAGCCCTACTGCAGAATTCTTACAGACCTACCAAGATACTGCTACTGTTTAATGTTTAAGCTGTGTTTTTACATTAAAAAAAGTTTTACACAAACTAAATCAACGAATGTAATTCGTCATTTGGTTTGTTTAACATGAGCAGAATAGATAACGAAGTAACTCAATGATTCTCTCTGCTTTTTCTCTGTTTCTCTCCAATCATTGGCGATCAGGTCAAAGTGTCTCTCGACAGCTTGATAGACAGTCTAAACAGCCTTTCAGACACTGGGGATTGTGTGGCCAGAGTTGAAAAACTGCTCAAGGAGCTAAAAACACTGGAGGAGAAAGCTCAGGTTTGTAATGGCACAGTTACACACACAATGGCACATAGTCATTTAATAATATTGAATCATTACAAGTAATTTGGTTTCTTGTTAAAGCAATCATCGTGAATCACTTTAGTAGAGTTGTAGAGTTACACCGTTGAGTGTGGATACCCTGAAGCGTTTGCTTGCACAGCTTAATGTATCATATTTAATTGATTTTCTTCCAGGCCACACTGGAAAAGGCACAACTTCACGCACTGCATGGTGACCAGCTGATTCAAAGCAATCACTATGCTGTGGACTCCATCAGACCCAAATGTGTCGAGCTCCGTCGTGTCTGTGATGACTTCAGCAATGAGGTCAAGAAAAAGACAGATATTTTGTCCAAATCTCTGCAGATACACCAGGGCATAGATAAGGTAAGGATACCATATGAGTTGTGTACATTTACAGATGGCCACAAATCCAAAAGTTTGACTTAACACAAGCCAGATGGAATGTGATGAATCTGTTCTTTGGTTTGTTTGTTTTTTAATCTCTTCATTGGATAATTCTGGACCAAAATGTCCAGACAGTGGGACATGTTGTAAAATCACACTGACATATTTACATCTTAGAATGTCACGGCCTCTATTTGCATCCAGCAGACGGCGCAAGCATTGAGTTAAAGTTGTTTAATCTTGAGTCTCTGGCACCTAAATATAATGTAAATATTATTTTTTATTCAATGTTCTTAGTGAAATGTGCTGCTGAGCACAGCTTTAATTCCAAATTTGGTTCATTCTCATCAATGTTTAAACTGTTTCGATATTTTAAAATGAGTTGAAAACTGCTTGGGCTACTATTTGATTAGATAAATCTATAATTACATAATATGTGTTCCACAATACACCTGTGACTCGACTGGTGTAATGTGACTCTTCCAAAAAAAGAGCTGATGGTTGTCTTTCTGTTTGAGTAAGGTGTGGACGGATCATTGTTTTGACTGGGCCATCTGTCCACCCTGCTGCTGTAGACATATTCAAATAAACCACTCATCACCGTGGCTTCAGTTCTTCCGGTTGCCACAAGACCAACTATTGCAGTCATTGTGTTTAAATATGAAAATCAAAATCTATTCTAATCTTATCGTACAAGAGCACTCACCATCAGTTTGACCAAATAATCTTTTTAAAGATAAAGATGTCAAAGATATTAGAAGACAATCTAAGAAGAAACTTGACATAACTCAACAATTGAGAATTTTATTACCCGCATAACAAGTTTCTACAGACCCAGCTGGGATTTTACTTGCAGTATTTTCCTCCTACCACCCAAATACAGGACTCTACACTGTGACACCATATGTGAAGGGATGATTATGTTTTCTAAAACTGAATTCTTGGCTATTGCTGACGTCATTGGATGTTGTGTGCAGGTTAACCAGTGGTGTGAGTCTGGGATCTACTTGCTGGCATCCCAGGCTGTGGATAAGTGTCAGTCACAGGAAGGAGCAGAGTCAGCACTGACAGACATCGAACACTTTCTGGAGTCAGCAGAAAAGAACCAACTGACTGAACTGAGGAACCTGCACAACCAGTATGAGGTTGTCTTGTCAGAGGATCTCAAGGTACAGTCCACAAACATAATACTATGAAAGATGTTCTGTTGCAAAAATGATGAGGACAAGGGTAGATGTATAGCTTTTTACCCGCAGGGTAGTGTACTGAAGGCGCTAAAGAGACTGGAAGATGTTCAGGAGATGTTTGAAAAGCGGCATCTCAGTCTGAAGAGACTGTCAGCTAAACAGACAAGGCCCATCCAGCCTGTTGCTCCACGGCCTGAATCCTCCCCCAAACGGCCCTCAGTGAAGAACACCCCCAGGACTGCAGGAGGCCAACAGCGTAATTTGATCTTTGTGTTTTCAGCTAATTTAAATGAAGATATGTTCTTTTGTTTTTTGTCTTAACTGTAAGCTTTTGCAAGACTGTACAACAGTTAGATTAATCTGAAGTAATGCAGACTACAAACAAGAAAACACACAAACTTTGAAGAAAGAAAGGATCAAAGTTACCTGTGTGCTGTCATCTTGTTTCAGCTCTTGCTCGCAGAGCTTCCGATAATTCTAACAAACAGCAGGCTGAAGCTGATCTCAACAAGAAGAAGAACATAAGGAAGGCAAAGGGAGGAATCAAGGTAATGTCCTTGGGCTACACTTTTAAATCTCACTGAAACAATAAAACACATTTAAAGTCCTGTTCATCTGTCTTTGACCTCTTTTCCATTGAATTACATTTCATTTCACTCTGAAATGTGGTGGTAACAGCATGACACAACAAAACTGATGGACCCAAACTATTTTTATTGGCTAAGAATGGCTCTACTTTCAGAAACTTACCAGTTATTCATGGATGCACATAGGAAGCACAGTTGTTCAGTAGTCGGTACTGCTGCCTCACAGAGGCCCCTGGATTGTCTATATTAACACCTTTATTTCATAGTTTTTATTTATTTTTATTACTTTTAGTATTTTGAGTGAAAGAAAACATGAGAGATGTGAATGGATCTACTTTATCATCTTCTTTATTCCCACCAGTAGAGGGCAGAGGGGTTGACTGGTCACACATTTTAATACTCAGTCCAAAAGTGTATGCCAATTTGGTGGTTGACTGTGCACTCGCATAATTTGTTTTGTGACTCAAGCTTCCTGGAGGCCTGATGCCAAAAGAGCACAAACTCTTCTGGTCATGTTACATGTCACACAGTCAGTTTAATGAAGTCATGTATTTTTCAGCATACTTGGTCAAACACTCATCCCTCTTTGAAACCGTTTTTTTCAGAAGAAAAAACCCCCAATAATGCTGGTAGATATTCTTCTGAAAAATTAAAATCAATCATACGCCAGACACGAATGCTGTTTTTGTATAATGTTGGCAGATATCTGATCCTTCCTATAGCAAAGATATTTTACTGTTAAAAGGAGTTTTCCTCGACACTGCTGCTCATAAGGGTATGTAGGCTCAGTGAGATTTTCTCTCTGATATTGTAAGGTATTTGGAGATGACAATTTTTTCTTGTAAAACACGGTGCTATATATAAAAAAAGAACTGATTCATTTAAAGCCACTTGTGCATATATTTGTGTGTTACAGATTGAGGTCATGCATGAAGAAAGCCAAGGAGGCTCCACACATGTTGTTGTGACAAATGAGACTGAGGAAAGTCTATCCAACAGACGCAGGTAAGGGGGGATAATGTTGTATTCCTGCGATTATAACAAAAGCTCAATTTTTACATTTGCAGTTTATTTTATGGAATAATTTTATGCAGTATACTATACTCTTCCCAAGGATAGTGCAAGTATTTATGACATGGTAGAAAAACAGTTAACAATTTCACATATCCTTTCAATCTTTAAAAATGTCATTTCTCAATCCAATTTGTGTCCTGACCTCTTGAAACATTGATGTACTTGTAAACAAACTAGTGGTAATAACCCTAACTGATGTGACCAGAATTGTCCCTATGTGGTTAATTAATATGTACCTTAAACTTTCCTTCTTTAGGCAATAGATAAGTAAACTTAAACTTTGATACAGGAAGACAAACACATGTCAAATAAGAAAGAGCAGGGATGTAAAAGGTCCACAATGAAGTTTTGTTGGTGTTGGATTTTATTTAATTTCTTACGACCTCACGTATGCTAGCCTTATGAGTAGATACATTATCTAGGTTCAAGTAAAATAATAAGTAGATCCTATGTGAAACTGATTCTGAACTATTGTTTTTTTTTTTTATTTAAGCAAAAATTCTATTAACAAAGTTGATACATTCAAAGAAATGTCACACAAAAATTACAACAACATTCAATTTCAGGATTTAAAAAAAGATCAAACAGTATTATAGAAAAAAATGCCGTCTCTCCTTTTATCACACTATGAAATCCATGAAATTATAATGAGATTTTTTGGCTGGGCTTAGAACGATCAATGTGTAATTTCAACCAGAAATAACTTAAACTAAAACACCCTTTGTTGTCCAAAATTAATGTCAAAGGTTTGGCATTGAGTGCACAGGTATAGACTAGGCATTTTGGAATAATGTACTTGGCACAGACAAGTCAGTTTGGGGTCAGTATATCAGAGACGGGTTTACTGCAGACTGTTTCAATCTCACTCCTGAGGTGTCAAAGACTACTGCTCAGAGTGGACACTTAGACGTCACATTACTTACGTACCATCTTAGCTTCATTTTTCAGTGTGCATGTAATCAAATAGACTTACTCCACATACAAAAAAGGCATTGTGAGATTGTAGGTAAATGTTTTGCTTTGGTAACCCTGTGGTAGATTAGGGTAATAACAGCTGGAATAAATAAAGCAACTATAAATTGTATAAGAGCTTAAAAAACGGTTGGATCGATCATTTGCTTAGGTGTTGCTCAACTATCTAAAGTAAAACTATGCAATCTGCAGATTTCGAGATATTGTGAAACCTGCAGATTGAACCAGAAGTAAGTATTTCAACAGGTGAATTGTTGTAATCACACTTGTAAATCCAAAACAAAATCAGAAAGAAAATGAGGTAATTGCCATTCAAAAGTCAAAGCCTTGCTCATAAATCTGTCCAACATTGAACTACATTATGGGTTGGTTATTTGTTTTGGCTTCTGACAGTTACACATGAAAAGCTTCACGGGTCTAGCTGACTAACCTAAACAGAGTCAATAAATGAAACTAACTTAATCTTTAGACATTACAGTTTCACTGGAACTTATTTATAGAATACACAGTTTAACAATATACAGGAAGTCAGGTGAGTGCAATGAAGTTATTAGGAGTGAAAGAAGGAATGCAGTTAAGAAGGCAAAAATATAAATTAGCAGAAGTCCTGACGTGGCTTACACTGAAAATGCAGGCTACAGCAGAATTACACAAGTTCGTTATAATTTAGCACAATCTGGCAGACCCTAATGTGTGAGACACTTGATTGGCTCTATGACAGTGAATTATTATACATATGCATCAAAGTAATATTCACAGCATCACAAAAAACAATGTTTTCCAACAAAAATCAAGTTGGTCCAGTTATCCTCTCACTTGGCAGCTGCATTGTTAATATGTCTGGGTTTAAATTTCAGAGTTATCCTGATACCCTTGTCTTATCTATAAATAATTAAAAGGCAAAACTATCAATTTCCCCAACACAGAAGAATAATCCAAGGCTACTTAAGTCAACAATTTTGATGTTTGCTACCGCTAATTTATGGAGAAGGCAAAGGGAAAAGTTATTTCGTTGATAAGTGCTTTAGTAAACTACTGCGGAAAGTAACATAAAAAAAATTAAGGGAACTCAAAGGGAAGCTGCACATCAGTGAAGCCTGATGCATCTGGACATGAATTTTGAATGCATTTAATTTCTTAATAGATCTGATTTTATTTCCTTACAAAATTGCACACAACGGCAAAAGGTGAAATGTGTCAGACTAGTGCTGTTAGGTAACATTGTTTATAACAGTGTTTGAGACCCACAACGAATATTCATGTAAAAGCAGCACTACAGGAGTAAGTGTTCTGATAATGTGGCAGACATAGCAGCATCACTCTCACTGCTGTGCAATAAAGGTTACCTAGTGTTCCTCTGGTGCTGCTGTTCTCTCTAGATTCTGTTACTGACCGCCACAGTGAGCGCACATCAGAGGTATGACCGTGTGATGTGATCATGTGGTCATAAATGCAGGGGTGGTAAGGAGCCTTGCCCTCCCCTGAAAAGTAAACATGCTCCTGGGGAGAGACCCCCATGGCCTTGGCACAGATTCCCATAAAGACATCGTCAATGTACATAGAGGAGTTCAGCAGCAGAGTCGCCTGGTAAATTTTAGCAGCTACATTCCCTGAAACCACATACCCTGCTCCAGCAGTGTAGTCTGGGTAGGATGGCCAGGGATACAGATCATAGGGAATGTGGTATTTACTGTATTTATAGCGAACTGGAGGAGATCCCCTGTGGACATGCCCCACCCATAGGTCTTTAGCTCCTGATTGACTCCTGAGAATATCCTGTAAATACTTTACCAAATTACGCATATGGACAAAGATGTCATCATCCGCAGACATGACGAAGCGTGCCTGAGGGCAATATATGTGCCTCCAGTGGAACTGCTGGATCAGTTTGGTAGTCAGGTTATAAAATGTGTCTACAAAGTTCTGCTGGATCAGATCTCCATAGACCTTGTCCTCCTTCAGCAGTGCAGTCTGGACCTTATATCTCTGTTCGACATGTGGATGAATGCCAATGGCGAACACCAACCTCATATTCACCCCCAGTTCTGCCCAAACAAAGCTCTCGTTTCCCCATGTGTCCCTGATGGCTCGGCGCCGCTCAAAGTTCTCTGGTGATGATTTTACAAATAACAGCAGAAAAACATCATTTAAACTCTTCCCATTTTCCCCTTTGCATTTCTCTGGGTGGTTGATGAGGTATGAATAGTTCACAAATCCACCAAATACCCTGTTAGAACCACCCTTTCTGTAATGATGATTGGAGTTGATAGCAAAAGAAGAATTGAGAAAATCATAGCTGTTGATCAAGTACCGGTGGGTGAAGGATCTCATGTGGCTGACTGCATGATGGTCCAGCTCTTCCCAGTAAACCATCACCATACAAAGCAGAAGACCTGTGGTCAGCAGTTGCAAACACTGGCACTTGTGGATTCGACGGAAGTTCACAAACATCTTGATTACTGCTTATTTCAGCTGAACACAAACAATATATGCCCCATCTAATAATATTCTCTTCATCCTCTTTCCTTTCTTTCTTTCACTTGTCCTTCAAACTGGTTCCTTTTCCTCATGATGAAGTCCAGTATGGTTGCTCTATTACTGATCTCTCTCTTGTGTAAAGAAATAGTTCTGCTTCCTTGGTTGCAAGCTGTAACTAACCAGTGTTGGTTCAAGCTGTGTCAACCATCACTTCCTAAAAGTCTAACATGCTACTTCTCTTTTGACTATTCAAAGTTTCCAGTTAGTTCAACTTCCGTCCCACAACTTTAATGTCTGCTTGTCCTCAGGCCACATGACACCTGAAAAAAAAAGAGAAAAACAAGACTAAGATAAAACTTTATATGTGCATATATTCTGTTCCATAGTATATTTATGCAGAGTATCCTTGCAGTTCCTTGGCAGTTCAATAGTCAAAATCATTTTAATTGTAAAGTTGTATTCCATATTGGTTTTTTTTTTTTGCATAAAATATACCACAGTTCCCAATAAAAGACAATGTAAAAATGTGCACCTATGGAAGATCTGCCACTCAGGATATGTTCGGACTTTATGAAAAACTGAAAACAACATTTTTGAAGTATTGTGCATAAACAATATTATTGAACGGACACGGGTAAAAACGCAGCTCTAACAAATTGTAAAGTATCATGAGCTGTAGTACACGCAGCCGCTAGACCTGCTTGAAAACTTGCAGCCTAACTGGATCAGTCAGCTGGCAGTTAGGAACCTCCTTAGTTGTGCGTCTTTGGTTAGGCGTAGATTTTGTACACATTCTTTTACAGCTACTTATTCTTGTTTTCTATATTTATTTTGGATATGTTTGTGAAGAGGGCGTGAGCGTATGGTTTTTACACATGTGGAAGCATTCAGATTTCATGACGTGGTTTTGCGCTGATATCATTAAACCTTCCTTGCAGTAAGTTTTGTATCAAAAGGTGTTCTGATGCAGTTTATTTGGGGTCCTGAAGTTGTTTTTTCTGTAGTATTACAGTGTTAGCACCTGGATAGGCATGTTTCTTATCACAATGTTACTACAGAAAATCCGCTGTGATTGTGATTGAATGCTCGTCTTTAATCCAGTAATAGTGACGACATTTAGTGCTGTGGTTGGTGTATTGTGTATTTAGAATCTATAGTAAAGAATTTATAGTAAATGTCCACACCTTACATAATGTGTGTATGTATATATATATATATATATATATATAGAGAGAGAGAGAGAGAGAGAGAGAGAGAGACAGAGGGAACACAGGCAGGCATAAAACAAAACCCTAACACATAGCAAACCTAAACAAAAGACATAACAGAATAAACAAGAACATAGAATAATATAAAGATAATAATATAAAGAAACACAAAACACTGAGTCATCAGACTCAGGACCATTACAGTATCTGGTACAACTAGTTTCTTGGACCCAATTCCTTCAGTTGTTGGACCATTAGCCAGCATGTAAGAAATGTGAAGTTATAACATACAATGAGAAATAAAGTGAAACATAGTGTTAAAAACTATGAAGTGTGTACTACAGTCACTATCTGTGGTTTTAACATTGTATTTTGTAATCTTTTATCTCTTTTTTCAAGGTGGGCTATAGCCTACTTGTCAACCAATTAGGATACCAATCAGACGGATATATCAGCCACATCCAGAATTACATTTGGGATGTTGGACTGCATGGGAGTACGTCCGCAGTGGTTAATGCTTTCATAGCGATTGCAGCCATTCTGCAAACCGTTTTGAATAACGCTCATGGATATCAATCATGTCAATTTGCATGATAATGATATAGAAACTGACCTCACCGCTCATTGTTAGGCAATGGAACTTATTTCAATCATTATACAAACATACTGTTTATAACTGTAAACTGAATTCAGCCAAGACCCAGGAAGTCACTTGGTTGAGTGACGAAATGTTTCTCCCACAGAAAACACTATGAACTAGTTGAACCACGTCAACTTTCTAAGATTTCCTTACCTTGATGATTGAGCATGAGATATTATGGCTTCAGTTTCATTCCTCTTGATATGACTAATACCTTTCATTACTATTGGCTGTAACTGTTCCTAAGCATTTAACATTATCATGTAAATTGTATTGTGTTTTCAGTTGGCTACACACTCACGTCTCTTCAAAATTTTAAATGGCATTTCTATACTCTAACATGAAACCTAGCACACTCTGCATTTATAAACCCTTATGTGACAACAAGCTCCCAGTTCCATTTGAGTTGTGACTCTGCATTTAAAAGGCCAATATTTAGGTGACAATTGCTAATTGATTAGACTTGTGTAAAGATAATTTCTTGGCAAATGGAATAAAAACAGTAGGAATGGCACTTTCCAATTCTTTTTCTTAATTCAACTTGGTTAAAGTTGTTCACTCAGAGACAAAGTGCTTTTTGCCAACTGATTTGACTGAGTTGATTGTACTTGATTGTGCTAATAGTATTTCAGTAATACTTGGAATTTTT